CCGCAGAGGTGCTCGTCGCTGCCGCTGTCTGCGAGGACGAGCCCTCTGCGCCCCTCCCTGCGGCAGCACCCGACCGAGCTCCCGACTCCAAAGACCCAACCGACCTCGTCGCCGCTGGAGCCTGCAGCCATCGCGCTCATGGCCCCTGACCCTCAGCGCCCACAAGGGCCTGCTGGGCTGCGGCCGCCTTCGGGGGCGCTGCCGACGGCGTCCGTGGCTTGCCAGCCGCCTTGTGCCAGCAGTCTGTCTCCTTGCGCACCTGCTTCTGGCGCCAGTTACAGGCCCCCTCGAACTTGGCGGGGTAGCTGCCCTTGGGCTCGTCATTATTGACCCCCTTATTGCTGCCCTTTCCGCCCTTGTCGCCCTTGCCGCTCATATTGTCACCCTTGCCGCCTCCCGACTTGTCGCCCTTGCGCTTGCGCTAAGGCTGTTGCGGCAGGGCATGGCCCGAGATCGCACCGATCTCCATCGGCGCCGCGCCTTGACCCACCGCGCCGCTAGCTGCGAAGACCTGTCGCGACGCCATCCACTCTCTCAGGTGGTCCTCAGCGCCACGCGCGAGACCTTGGCGGTCGTCGGAGCATTGCGTAGCACGGTCTTGCGCGGCTCGGGGCCATGGACGAGCAGCGTGGCGATGCGAAACTCATCGCCGAAGTCCTTCCCCGCCTGCATGATGTACCTCGCCACGTCGTTGTCCCAGTCAACGAGCTGGCTCAGCGAACGGCTTCTGGTCGACCCACCTGGGGTTGCGCAGGCCGCTGAGCGCCTTGCGCTGGGTCTTGGCGATCAGCATGGCATGCAGCAGCTTGCTCGTTGTTGCCGCGCACTCACCCATGCTGACGTTGTCCACCGCGAGCGCTGGCTGGGCCTCAACGTTATCGATGAGGTCATCCCGGCCCATCAGCGCGAAGAACGCGTGGGTTTTGATGGGCCAGCTGGGCCAGTCCTCATCTCTGCCACTGAACTCTGGCAGCTCGATGTCGCCTCTGCAATCCACCAGCTGCTCTCTGGGCGCCGCTGCCATGGGCAGCTCTCGTCCTCAGTCTTCCCGTGGGTCTGATCTGCGCAGTTCACCGCGGAACCGCGCTCCCCGCTACCGTGGTGGAAGTTGGGCGGATGCGTAGGGAAAGCGTACCAAGGGGCTTTTTTTTCCCCCGACGCAGCTCGAACAAAAGGGCCCGCGGGCGTGCCACGACCTGATGGCGTCCGAATCACTCAAGATCCCGAGCAGGTTCCGCTTGAGACTTCCAAGAGATTCAAACCTCAGGGGCTCAAAAGTGACGACAATTACAAGGTTTGGATGACCCGCTCGGATTCGAACATGAAGTGCGGGCCCTGTGGAAGATGCTCCCGCCGCGGACTTCCTCACACATTCACTCACAGACGAGGCTCCCGCCGGATACTTTCTCCAGATTCAAACCCCATGGGCTCCAGAATGACGACAGTTACAAGATTCGGGTGGCCCGCTCGCATAACGAACGTGAGATGCGAACCCCAATAAGGAGGGGCTCCCGCCGGAGATTTCCTCGCAACTTACTCGCAGACGAGGCTCCCACGCGCGACTCATGATGGTGATGACGGTGGCAATGCTGCTCGCACAGGGGCTCAAAAGTGACGACGCTTACAAGGTTTGGATGACCCACTCGGATTCGAACATGAAGTGCGGGTCCTGTGGACAAGACCCCCCCGCCTGAAACTTCCTCACGATTCACTCACAGACAAGGCTTCCGCTTGACACTTCCTCAAGATTCAAACCTCAAGGGCCACAAAGCGACGACAGCTACAAGGCTTGGATGACCCTCTCGAATTCGAACATGAAGTGCGGGCCCCATAGAGACGGGAATCCGCCTGGGACTTCCCTACAATACACTCACAGACGAAGCTTCTGCTTGAGATTCCCCAAGATTCAAGCCTCAAGGGCCCAAAAATGACAACTGCTTCGAGGCTTGGATGACCCGTTCGGAATCGAACATGAAGCGCGGGCCCCATAAGGAAGGGCCCCCCCCGCCTGACAATTATCTCGAAAGTCACTCACAGACGAGGCCCCCGCTGGAGACTTCGTCCATATTCGAGCCCCAAGGGTCCAAAAGTGACGAGGGGTAGAAGGCTTGGATGACCCGCTCGGAATCGAACATGAAATGCTGGCCCCGTAGAGACGGGGCCCCCGCCCGGAAGGTCTTCACACTTCACGCGCTGACGAAGATCCAGCTCGAGACTTTCTCAATATTCAAGCCTCAGGGGCCCAAAAGTGACGACATTTACAAGGCTTGGATGACACGCTCGAAATCGAACATGAAATGCGGGCCGCGTAGGCACGGGGCCCCTGCCCGAAACTTCCTCACAATGCACGCGCAGACGATGCCCCCGCTCGAGGCTTCTTCAAGATTCAAGCCTCAGGGACCCAAAAGTGACGTCGGTTACAAGGTTTGGATGACCCGTTCGGAATCGAACATGGAGCGCGGGCCCCATAGAGAAGGGGCCCCCGCATGAGACCCCCCTGCAATTCACTCTCAGACGAAGCTCCCGCTAGAGACTTCCCCAAGGTTCGAGCCTCAGGGGCTCAAAAGTGACGACAATTACAAGGTTTGGATGACCCGCTTGGATCCGAACATGAAGCGCGGGCCCCGTGGAAAAGATGCCCCCGCCTGAGACTTCCTCGCGCATTCACTCGCGCGCGAGGCCCCCGCCTGATACTTCCTCCACATTCAAACCTCAAGGGATTTAGAATGACGAGAGTCACAAGATCCGGGTGGCCCGCTCGCATTGCGAACGTGAGATGCGAACCCCATAAGGAGGGGCTCCCGCCGGAGATTTCCTCGCAACTTACACAGACGAGGCTCCCACGTACGACTCATGATGGTGATTATGGTGGTAATGCTGCTGATGATGATGGATGCATGGTAACTGTGCGCTGATGACAATGCTCGCGATGATGGCGATGGAAAGTGTCGGTGAAAGATGGGGGATTGATGGCGGAGATGGCGAATGGTGAAATTGATGACGACGATGATGTTACATGCTGACAGTGATGATGGCGATGGTGATGGTGGTGATGATGATGATGTGGGGTAACGGTAATGAAGATGGCGAGGGTGAGATGACGGCGATAGTGATGCGGGGTGTTCCTGGTCCTGATCGGGGGGTGTCCGAAGACAACACGAACCCTACTTAGGAAATGGGAGGGGAACACATGGTCTCGCAACACGAATGTTCGAAACGAGTTTGCGCTCGAGCTCTTACAAAGTCTTCGTGCAACCATGGGTGTATCCAAGAATTCTTAAAACGCTACCAAATGGGCCTCTCGCGCGCGCATGTCGAAATCCTTCGAGCGCCCTTGCGCACGTGCTGTCGCGAGAACCCCTTGCAACAGATGAGACGGCGCGCACGAGCGCGCGTTGTCGCGCGCGGATGCCGAACCATATTTGTTTTTTTATATCAAAAACATGGCTACGCAGCACCAGCATTCAAAAAACTGCGTTTGTATTCTCGCGAATTCACCAGGGAACCATCGGCTTCGCACCATTTGCAATACATTCTGCCAAACGGGCCTTTCGCGCCGCAGTTCGACATCATTCGGACGACGTTGCGCGCGCGTGTTTTTTTTGGGGGGGGCAGGATCCGCGTCAAGAAACATGATGCGGGCCACTCTCGCGCGTCGGCCGCGCGCGCATGTCGAACTCCTCCCAGAACCTTCATCACCGACGCGGGGACGCCGTCATCGTCGTCGGCGTGATCAGCATCGGCGCCGTCAGTGACCGTGCCGTCGCCGTTGCCATCGTCGTCACAAGTGTCGCTACTATCATCATCGAGTCTGCCGTTGTCAGCGTTGCCATGATACCGCGCCCGCCCAGGTGGCCGACTCGCACTGAACTGCCTGCTGGGAAGTGTCCAGAGGTCAGCGCCATCGCGGCCGCGTCGGTCGAGCCAAACTAGCTGGCCACTGCGCGCGCGAGCATGCGCGGGCTAGCGCGGCCGCATAGATACACCCACCAACACCAAGCACTCACCGCAGTCGCCGCCGCATCTGTTTTGCAGAACAAGTTGCGGGTGGGTGGGTGGGACGATTGCGTGAACAGTGGAGTTGACGACTTCGAATGCCGCACATGAGCTGCACTACGTAGCTTGCACCGCGTAGCTTGCATCACAGAGCCTACATAACCTCAATGAAAGATGTGTTACTGTGTGGGGTCCACGCTGGCGTACCTGATAATAAGGATTGCTGAACACACCGTTCATTGAGGTGTCCAGAAATATCCCCGCTCTGAAGAAGGACCAGCCCCTAGATGTCAAACTGTTGCACACATCGTCCAGGTATAAACATGCGGGTCGCGGGCGTCTCAAGCTAGAGGTTCCTTTTGAAAAGGAGCCGCCCTCCATCCCTGTAGCTGCTGCAAGCGTTGAAAACGAATGTGCGCGGCGCAGAAGCGAAAGCTCGATGTTGAACAGGAACCGCCTCCATCCTTGCAGCTGCTCCAAACCGTTAAGACGAATGTGCGCGGTGCTAGGGCGAGAGCCCAATCCCATGTTGAGAAAGAGCCGCCCTCCATTATTGTATATAACTGCTGCGCGTTTGTTGAGCGAATGCGCGCGGCGCTGAAGCAAGATCCCTATGTTGGAAAGGGGCCGGCCTCCATCTTTATAGCTGCTGCGCACCGTTAAGACGAATGCCCACGGTGCTAAATCGAGATCTCCATTTTGAAGAAGAACCGCCCACCATCACCGTAACTGTTGAATACTTGTCAAGCGAAGACGCGCGGAACTTAGGCGAGAGCTCCATGTTTAAACAACACCCCTTCCATCCGCGCAGGCCCTGCAGACGTTCAAAACAGATGCACGCGGCGCGAAAGCGAGAGTTCAATGTTGAAAACGAACCCTTCCCACTCCATCCGTGTAACGGTTGCAAGTTTCACGCTTTAGGGTCGTAAGTGGTGAGGACCTCTCAGGCAAAACTCCCCGGAGTTCTCTATAAGGAACAGGGGTGGAGAAGGATCACGACGCCGGCGGCGACGAGGAGAAAAAGGTAGAGGAGGACAAGGAGGACGACGACAACGAGGACGAGGAAGAGGGCGAGGGCGGGGATGACCGAGGCGAGCGGCGAGTCGAAAATGCGGCTGGCCCAGCGAGGGCGGAAGGCGTCGGCTCCGAGCCTGCCCGGCGGGCGCCTGCCCGGCCTCCGCACAGCCTCGGCGGTCCCCAGCTTCCTCCTTGTCCCTGCTTCCTCCTCCTCCTCCTCCTCCTTCTCCTCCTCCTCCTCCTCCTCCTCCCCCACTCCTCCTCCCTCTCTTCCTCCTCCCCCTCATCCTCCTCTCCCTCCTCCTACTCCCCTCCTCCTCCCCATCCTCCTCGTTTTCCTCCTCCTGCTCCTGCTGGCACCTGTGCCACTGGGTCCCTTCCCAGGAAAAAAAGCGGGTAGCAGCCTGCTCGTCACTCCTGTTTGCCCGTGGGGGGCCAGGAGGAGGGAAAATTTCTCCCTCCTGGCATTGCCTCCCCTTGCGGTGGCCCGGCACGAACACCGCGCGCGCCTGGGCAGGAGGCTCATGGTGGATCCCACACCCATCCTTCCCACGGCCAGGGCGCCCCGACCCTGGCGTGCGTGGGGATGTGGAGTCGCCCGAGGGAGTGGTGCGCCTCGGGTGGCTTGGGGCGGCACGGCCAGGAAGGCGTGTCGTTATCTGAGCCTGGACGCGGCTCGAAAAACGGACTGCAGCATGTGGCTCGCTCTCGTCAGTTTCCTGCTTGTGGCACGCCTTGGAGCTGTGCAGGAATCGAGTCCTCGAGCGGCCGTTGCTTCCTCTTTTTCGGTCCTCAGTTCCTCGTTGCGACCAGTGGGCTCTGGCTCCTGCGTTCGTGGTCTTGCGAGTCAGCGAAAACCAGGTGTCACACTGCGTTTTGCTCTGCCTGAGTTTCATTCTCTGGCGCGCACCGTTCTCCAGGGCAAGGCTCGTGCCAACGATGCCCTCCTCCTCCTCCGCCTCCTCCTCCTCGGCGGGCCCGCCTGCCCGCTTCAGCGGCGGGTGGTGGCCGAGGAACGCCAGCGATGGCCAGTCCCTCCCGGCCCAGGGCCGCTGCCGAGGCAGCGCGCGGGGCGCTCCCGGCGGCGCACGCCGCCAGCGGCCCCGCGGCGTGCCGCTCCCGCGCGGCGGTCCGCGCGCCGCGAGCCGAAGAGGGGCCGCCCCGCGCAGCCGTCGGCGAGCTCGGCACGGAGGCGGCGCCGCCTGCCCCCGAGCCTGCGGCCGCGGCGCCCCCTCGGGTAGGGGGCCACATGTGAACCCTACCCCTACCCCCCACGATTTCCGAGAGGGAGGGTGGGGTTCACTTCGTTCGGGAGCTGCCGAGCGAAGTGAACCCCACCCTCCCCTCAAAAATCGTGGGGGGTAGGGGTAGGGTTCACATGTGGCCCCCTATCGGGGGCGCCAGCGGCCTCGCTGGCGCGGCGGGGCGCGGCGCTGGACCCTCGCCCGACGGGTCGGGCCTCGACGACGGCAGGCAGAAGCGGCAGGACGGCGGCGGCGGCGCGGCGGCGGCCGGCGCGCAGGGCGGGAGCCGGAGCGAGCAGGCGGCTGCAGCGGTCCTGCGGGTTCCTCCGCGCGATCGGAGCCGAGTGGCGGCCAGTGAAGGCCCCGACGCCGCCGACAAGGCGTCTCGGGTCGGCGGCCGAGGCGACCTGGTGCAAGTCGATTCGGCGGGGGAGCGCCAGCCCGCGGCAGCAGCGGCCGCGGAGGGCAGTGCGGCGGTCGAGAGATAGGCGAATAAGGTCGTCCCCCTTACGGCGGCGGTCCAGCAGCAGGTGCAGCGGTTCCGGAAGCGGTTGGCCTCGTGGAATTCGCGCGGCCCATCCGACGCGATGCTCGCCAGCCATCACGAGATTGAGATCGACACTTGCCTCACGATCCTCGTTGCGAAGGCCCCCTGGGATCTGTTGTTGAATGTCTGGCCGCCCGACGCGCGGCCCGGCGCTTCCGGCGCGCTCCTGGACGCCGACGTGATGCAGACCATCGAGCCGCACGGCTGAGGAGGCGGGGCATGGTGCGGTTGTCGGCCGCCAGTCTGCTCCCTCACCCGATTGTTGTCGAGGTTGAACCAGTAGGGCGGCTGTGACGGCAGGGGCTCCGGTGCCTGTCCTGGGGTGGCTGCTTCTTTGTGGCGAGCCTAACCTAATCCTCCTCCTCCTCCTCCTCCTCCTCCTCCTTTTCATCTTACTCCTCCTCCTCCTCCTCCTCCTCCTCCTCCTCCTCCTCCTCCTCCTCCTCTTCCTCTTCCTCCTTCTCCTTCTCCTCCTCCTCCTCCTCCTACTCCTCGCCCGCATTCCCCCACCACTCCCCCTCATCTTACCACTCGCCCTTCTTCCTGCTCACCTCAGAAGCCCCCCTGATCACCAGCAGAATCTATCATCATGAGCCCCCCGCCCCCTGCTCCACATCGTGAAGCCACCCCGGCCATCTCCGAGCACTCACCACCCATCCTGCCACTCGCCCCCACCCACCCCTACCACCCGCCCCTCCATCCCAATACATCACCCCGCTCGCCTCAGAAGAACACCCTGCTCAGTCGGAATCGTTCTCGTTAGCCTGGACCTCCATCATTCTCTGGCGGCGCCGCTGCTTCCTGGACAGCACCGCGGGGGCGGGCGGCTTCCGCTTCAGGCCCCCCTCGCCGTCCTGCGGTGGGGGGGTGGCGACGATAAAGATGCGCGTGGCGGAACTCCCATTGCTGTTCTCTTCCCGGGCAGGAGGACGGGGAGGGAGGGGGGGGGAGAGGATGGGAAGAGGAGGAGCAGGAGGGGAGAGTAGGCAGAGGACAAATGTAAACCCACGATGCACTAACGGTGTTGCAATACACCATCCCGTCCCCAAATTCCTTCTTCACACATCCTTACAGGCACTCCTGGCCACTAGGGGAGCCACCCCCTTGAACAATGAGCGCTCCTTGCGTTTGCCATGCAGGCGAGAAGCCCATGTTGAAAAGCAATACAGGTATTGCTGCCAAAAGCGCAAGAAGGCAGAACCATAGCAGTCCAAAGAAAAATACGGCCACGTGTCAAAACGAGCCGCCCTCCATCCGTGCAGCGATTGCATCACGCTCGCCAGGCTATTTGGTTGAGGAAGTACCAAGGAACAAGCCCATGCTGGGAAATGAGTGGCCCATCATCCCTGTGACTGCTGCACAAGCTATGAAATAGTCACGGGGCGTCTCGGACGAAAGCCCCATGTTAAAAAAAACAGCCCTCGTTGATTGACTAGCTGCTGGCGTTCGAATCAACTTGCGCAGGTCCAAGGCGAGAGTCACAGGTTAAAAACGAGCCGCCCCCCATCATTGTAACAGCTGGAAGCCTCTAAGACACATGTGCGCGGCGATAGGGCGAGGTCCATATGTGGACAGCCAGACCCAATATTTAGTTGCAATTGTGAATAACGTCGGAGACACATACACGCGGCTCTGAAGCGAATGAATGTGGGCTGGCGCCGAAGCGATGACCACATTCAGAAAACGGCCCGCCCTCCATCCACATAATTACTGGGCATTGGCACCTACAGTATCAGACAATGGATGGATTCGGCTTGTGTTCGGGAGTCGGTTTTCTCCGATGTATGGCGCCAAGGGGGCCAGGCGGACAGCGACGACGACGACGACGACGATGGCGACGAGGACGAGGGGGAAAAACAAAGAAAATGACGGCGACGACGACGAGGGGGCGGAGGGCCAGCACCCCAATCCGTCTTATCGGCCCAAGCCAAGGGCAAGATAGATGAAACAAACGCATCGGAATTACATTGGAGCCATATTGACACAATCCTGGGGTCAACTAAGGTTTAATGGGTGTCATATTGGGGCAGTTTCGAAGCCGTCTCGGGCTCATGGGGTCGTTCGGGGGCCACTTCGGAGTAAAACCAAAATCGCGCGGTAGCCTTAGTTCAGTCGGATGACACTGGGTTCATCTAGGTGTTCTCTTGGGGCCGCAGGGGCGCTCTGGGGTCATAGTGCGGTCATTGCTTAGCAAGGGTTGGCGTATTGGGGCGACAGGGGTAATCATCTGATCCTTTCTGAACTCTTGTGGGTCCATCTTGGGATGATATTTCCGTTGCTGCCTCTCTCGCCGTTGTTGTTGCAGGTGTTGCTGTTGCTGCTGGCGTTGATGCTGCTAGTGCTGTCTGCGCTGCCCGTGGTGCTGGTGATGGTGCTGCGTGAAATGTCGGGCCCTCTTGGAGCCATCTTGGGGCCCTTGTTGTGGCCCCCCTGGGCCTCTTGGGGACCTGCGGGAGCCTCCTGACGGCCCTTACGAAGTGAGCAGCGAGGGTTGAGGGCTTGACCATGAGGTAATAAGCTAAGAAACCCTACTTTTAGCATAACGTCGGCGACGTATCGAGGCATCCCCTAACTCACCCTCGATGGCAAGCGAGTCGGGGGGTAAGAGATGAGCCATGAGATGGAGAAGCGGATCATTGATAGACGTGGCCTTTGTCTGATACAATGAACCAGATCGAATCACCCTGTCGTGGAAATAGCACATGGAACTGCGCAGTCTTGAGCAGCCAAGACAGCGGCGGATATAGCGTTCGCTATACAGCCCCACCTTAAACCTCGCTTAGAATCGGGAGGGGAGGGCAAAGTCCCAATAAACAATATCAAATAAAGAAGGACGATCGGGGATAGTGTTCTTCAGCGCCCCCATCAGCACGCAGGCAACTGAATGGAAACAGCGCAGAGTATGAGGGCTGAGCAAGGGCAAGCCCCCCTTGTTCAACCGCAGACAACGATTGGTGGCCGCAGGCAAGAACATTTTAGGGGGGGCGGCTGGCCAAATGCCAGCCGTCGAAGCGTGCAGCATACGAGGGAAATGGCCCAGTGGTCAGATCCCCTCCAAAACAAACAAATGAAGGCCCGTGTCCGGGCTGCCATGTGAGCTGTAGGTGTCCTTGCCAGTGGCCGGGCAAGGATAACGACCTGTATGTACTGGAGCAGTCATCATCATATCAATCCGCTGGCCCTGAGTAGGGCACCCTTATGTTGGTGCTGCCTCCTCATTGTTTCGACGAGGTAGGTAATGATGTATTTCGTATGTGCAGGGCTGACTACTTCCATCACTTGCAGATGTAACGCCCGATCGATGTGCCCTTTGGCATGGCCATCAGCGGTCTCACCCCGCGCATCACACCACCGTGGGCCATGGGAGAAACCACGGTCTATCATTTGCCTGATCCAGCTGATGTGTCCCAGCAGGGCACATCCAATCGCCTTCTTCAAGTCCTTACATGACATGAATTTAAAGACCGGCTCGGCGCCCTTGGTAAGGATGACCTTAATGCCGAGACCTCCTATCTCTCAAAAGGTTCTCAAGTCGAATGGGCGGCAGGGGCGCGCGGCGCAACTGCGGTCGGGCGGCGGCCCTCGAGATCATGAGCGGCCGCAAGTGTTTCAGCTGAGTAGCTGAAACGAGATCAGATATCCCACTGCCTTGTCGTTAGGGGCGTGTCCGCGCAGTAACGGGTCTGCCCCGTCGGACGCCGCGCCCCATTTACCTCGTCATCTTAGCCCCCACTAAAGCGGCGAGATCCGGAACCACTGCGAAGGCCCAGTTCCCCCGTCGGAGTCATAAGCTGATATCTTATATGTTCTAGAGCTTGCTGAAGTTTGCGCGCGGCGGCGCAAAGTCTTCGCACTCGGAGGTCCCCGGGGCCCCGCGCTCTCTGCATGGGCACCGCGCATGCCATTGACCGTGCCTGAGAGATTAACGCATGCGCCAAGGCGCCGCGTAAACTGATGAACATGTCGGACACTGTCTCCGTTGCCTTTCCCCCGGGAACAGCGCCAGTGAGCTCCAGGCTTGCCCTCGCTTAGCGGGGTTGCGGGGTTATAGTTTGCGGACGTGACATTAGTCCCTGAAGGTTCCGAGGCCACGGGACGGGTTGCGGGGCCACGTTAGCCACGACAGAGGAGAGGAGGAGGAGGACCTCGGAGAAGGAGGAACGAGGAGGCGGAAGAGGAGGAGGGGCGGGAGGACTGATGACGAGGGGGAGGAGGAGGAGGACGAGGAGGAGGGGGAGGAGGAGCAGCACTGATGAGTGATGTGCGGAGGGGTGGATCAGGAGGAGGAGAAGAAGGATCCAATGAGAGTCGGCAATGGCACGCCATAAGTGTAGCGCCCGGCGATTCGTGCAGCAATTGGCCTCTGAACTGAGCAGGTGTCGGTGCATTGAGTAGTCGTCGCGTGCGGGGTGCTCTCGGGTTCTCTCGGGGGTGCTCTCGGGTGCTCTCGTGTGCTCTGTCCCAGAGGTGCTCTCAGATTGTCAGGTGCGGGGCGGGCGCAGCTTTTTGGGCTCAGGGAATGCCGAATCGCGGCAAGATTTCTCCGAAACAAGTCTGGGCCCGCAACAAGGAGAACCGGCGCAATTCCTCATGGTGTGCTATCTCAAGTGGCAATATTTCTCTCGGGTCTTGGTTACGTGCAGGTGTGCGAAAATGTGGTCGTTGGGGAGTCGGCTGCATCGTATGTGCTTCCGCCCGCGGAGATGCGCCACCCCGCATCAAGAAGTATTCGGATGGTCTCGTTTCAGATGGATTGCAGATTGGCCACTTGCGTCGCCGCGCCAGAAGCAAGTTTCACCGTAGAGCTGCTGCTCGCTATCTTCAAGGCGTTGGCGGCGACACTCCTTTCGCACCAGCAGTTGAAGAATTTCGTCGTGCTCTCGACCATGTTCAATTACACAGTTGTTCCATTCACCAGAGATTAGAAAACATGGTAGCAGTGGGAAGTTGCGGAAGCTCATAACTTGTCTAGCGGAAGCTTGCAAACGGAAAGGCCAGAGTTTCTTCAGAAAGGTGAAATACATATCGGTCATGAGAGACGCTCGTAGGAGCCGACTTGTTTGCAGATTTGTGGCAGTGAATAGCAACTTAGAGGTCAGATATGGCATGCTCGGAATGGTGGTAAATCCTGGACCTGGCGGTGAAAGCATCGCGAAGGCAACGGCTGAGATAATCTATGAGTTTTCTACTAAGTACATTGGTTCGAAAAATGAGGAGGTCGTAGGTGCACTTGAAAAATGTGTTCGGCGGCATATTCATATGGTTGCTGTTGACGCTGCAGCCGATGAAGTTCTTGGTGCTGAACTCATGCGTTGGCCAATTCTCACTCTCATGTCTGCGCTGACGCCGAACTTGCAAATCGTGCTGCGGGGCAAGTGCCATGGCACGCGCAGGCGCGCCGCTTCCTTTGAGCTTCGGCTGAGAGCGAGATTAAGAGGAGCAGGAGGGGGGGGATAAAGGGGGAAGAGAGGGGGGGGGGGGGAAAGGAGGAGGAGGAGGGGGGTGGGAAGAGGAGAAGGGGGATGAGGATGAGGATAAGGAGGACGACTGGAGAGGAGGAGGAGGACTAGCAAAGAGGAGCATGGGGATAAGGATGAAGGGCGAGGCTGAGGGCGTGGAAGGAGATGGGGATAAAGGTGACACAGACATGCGCCAAGAGAAAGCGAGGATGGTGAAACCCAGGTTGGGGATGATCAAAGTTGATTGCAGATTTAACCCCGCCCCCCCAAAAAAAAACCTCCCCAGCCGCCCTCGCCCCGCCCGGCCCCCGCCCCCCTCATCCCCACCAGCCCCCCTCACCACCAAGAGAAGACCCCACGCCGCCCAACCCCCCTCACCCCCCAAACTCCAACAA